CTTGTGACAACCAGCAAAGCTCCAAAGCATGAGAAATAACAATAGTATAGCAAAGGCATAGTTATTCCTAGGTCATCCCTGATAATGGGTATCCATCACTTTCTTGAATACCTCCAATGAATGAGAGTCCATAACTCTCCTAGGCAGTCCATTCCACTGCCTCAGTGATACCCTTTCATTGATGAGCTGATTATTGCAAGTAAAATCTTCAGACAACATCTCTCTCAAGCAGCTCAGTTCAAGTCAGCAATGTGATCACCATTGTCCCTCTGAAGCTAGTCAATCAGCTCCTTTCTCAGCTCAAGATTTAGGTGAAAATAAGACAGGGAGAAGTGAATCCTCTTGATGACTGACCCAAGTAAATTCATACCTCAGAACAGCCTACCAAAGCAACCTGTTTGCATACTTTGCCTTGGGTTCCTGGGTCACAGCCGCATATCTCAAGGTCCTCTACTCAACCTTGGCCTGTGTTTGGGTTACTCTGCCTCTTTGGGTGGAACACAAAATCCTGCCCCATCTAGCACTCATCAGCCCATTACCACTGACCCACAAGAGGTCATCTGGTGGTCATTTCACAGGCCAGGGCTACCTGGCTACCTTTTGATGTGTGCAAGAAGGGTTATTAGTGCTAGTCCCAGATTTTCATAGATTTTCATAGACATTTGGGCTGGAAGGGACCCCAGAGGATCAACAAATCCAGCCCCCTGCCCAGGGGCAGAAAGTCAGTAGGGATCTTAGGATCCCAGCAAAATAAATGTCCAAAAGTGTCTTGAAGGTGTTCAAAGTGGGTGCTTGAACCACCTCCGGTTGCAGTCTATTCCAAACCTTGGGAGCTCAGACAGTAAACAAGTTCTTCCTTATGTCCAGTCTGAAACTGTCGCAGAGGAGTCTGTGACCATTCGATCGTGTCATCCCTTGGGGTGCTCTGGTGAACAATCGTTCCCCCAGATGCTGGTGAATACCCCTAATAAACTTATAGGTGGCCACCAGATCACCCCCGAGCCTGCGCTTTTCAAGGCTGAAGAGTCCCATAGCTCTCAGCCTCTCATCATAAGGTCTGTTTTCCTGACCTCTGATCATGCGCGTGGCTCTCCTCTGCACTCTCTCAAGTTTCTCCACATCCTTTTTGAATTGTGGAGCCCAAAACTGGACACAATACTCCAGCTGCGGCCTCACCAAGGCTGAGAACAATGGGAGAATGACGTCCCGGGATTTGCTTGAGAAGCATCTATGGGTGCAAGCCAGCGTTTTGCTCACTTTATTAGCTGCAGCATCACATTGAAGGCTTATTTTCATCTTGTGGTCAATCATGACCCCCAAGTCGCTTTCATCTGTAGTGCTAACCAGCGTAGCACTGCCAAGCCTATAAACATGTTGCAAGTTTTTCCTCCCAATGTGGAGAACCTTGCATTTTTTGGTGTTGAACGCCATCAGGTTCTTGTCCACCCATTTCCTGAGCCTGTCAAGATCTGCCTGGATCACCCTCCTGTCCTCAGGTGTGGATGCTTTACCCCAGAGTTTGGTGTCATTGGAGAACTTGGCCAGCCCGCTTCTGACACCAATGTCTACATCATTGATGAAGATGTTAAAAAGTAAAGGCCCTAGGACAGAGCCTTGAGGGACCCTACTGGTCACAGGGCACCACGACGATTGACTTCCATTAACCACCACCCTCTAGGTCCTGCCATAAAGCCAATTCCCCAGCCAGCAGATCGTGGCGAGGTGGAGGCTGCAGTTAGCCCATTTTGCCAAGAGGTGATCATGGGATACCAGATCAAAGGCTTTCTTGAAGTCAAGATATATGACATCAATCTCTTCCCCCTTGTCCAGGTGATAAGTCACCTGGTCATACAAGGAAATGAGATTGGTCAAGCAAGACCTACCCACAACAAACCCATGCTGGCTATCCCTCAGGATATTGCCATCAGCTAGCCTGCATAGGATGGCCTCTTTGATAATCTTTTCCAAGACCTTCCCCAGGACAGAGGTCAGGCTGGTGGGTCTGTAGTTTGCCAGATCCACTTTCCTCCCTTTTTTGAAGATAGGCACCACATTGGCCTTCTTCCAATCTTCGGGCAATTCACCAGAGCACCAGGAGTTCTCAAAGATCCGTGCCAGGGGCTGAGCTATGATGTCTGCCAGCTCTTTGAGTACCCTTGGGTGTAAACAGTTAGGACCAGCTGACTTTAAAGTATCCAGCCTGTCAAGGTGTTCCTTCACAAGGTCAGCTTTGATGAATGGTAAGAATCCCCCTCACCCGGGCCTCCCTTTCCCACAGTGGGCAGGGGTGTCCCATGGGATTGGTGAAAAACTGATGCAAAGTACCCATTTAGCAAGTTTGCTTTTTCCTGGGCATCAGTTGTCAGTTGTCTCATCTGGTTCAGCATTGCTTTTCCTCCAGCTCCCCGCATATCTAAAAAAGGACTTTTTAGTATCCTTGATATTCACAGCTAGCTGGAGTTCCATCGCAGCCTTGGCTTTCCTGGTTTGCTCTCTGCAGGTCCAGATCAGTGCAGAATATTCCTCCTTGGAAGTGGATCCCATCCTCCATCCTTTGTAGGTCTTTCTTTTTAGGTGCAGGAGGTCCGCTAGTTTCTTGCTGAGCCAAGGGGGCTGCTGTGCCCTTTTGCTGCCTTTCCTCTGCAATGGGATAGACTTTGCTTGTGCATCCAGGATCGCTCCCTTGAGGAGCAACCAATCATCCTGAACTCCCCTCCCCTTTCGGTTGTAGCCCTTTAGGGCCTCACTGACAAGCCTCCTGAGCTCGTCAAAGTCAGCTTTCCTGAAGTTGAGGACTTCTGTATTACTGACTGACTTGCCAGCTTTACAGTGGATGAAGGTGATCAGCTCGTGGTCACTGTCACCCAGCTTCCCTTCAATCTTTAGGTCACTGATTAGGTCATCTCTGGCTGCCAGTACCAAGTTGAGCAGCGCTTTACCTCTCCTAGGCTTGTAGACTTCCTGCATCAGTTAGAGGTCATCCACATACAAGAGAAAGCTTTGTGCCTGCTCAGATGTGGCTGAGAGCTCCTCCCACGAGGTGTCTGGGTAGTTAGTCTCCCATGACAACCATACAGCTGGAGCATCCGGCCTCAGCCAATTCCCTGGCAAACTCCTGGTGAAGATCTTGACCCTGGGTAGGGGGTCTGTAGTAGACTCCCACCATAGTATCCCCTGTGCCATGTTCTCCATGGAGTTTAACCCAAAGGTTCTCAAGTCCACGCCCCTTTTGTCCATTCGGTGCCTCCTGTACAGGGTAGAGCTGTCTATACCTATGGCCCAGTCATGGGTGGGGGCCCACCAGGGCTCCCCATGACATCATAGTTATTTGCATTTAGCAGGAGGACAAGTTCCTCCTGTTTATTCCCCAAGCTCCTGGCATTTGTGTATAGGCATGTAAGTGTCCCCTTGGGGGCCCTTGCCTTGCCTACAGTTCATTCCAGAGCTGGGGCAGGGGTGGGCTGCCTTAAGTGCCTTGGTCTGCTGGCTTTGCAAGGGTTGCTCAGTGGGCCAGCAGTGGCGGTAGTCCCCCCATCCCCCAGTGGGCTTAATAGGATTCCTATGATCTTGATGCATTGCTCTTGAACAGATGGTTCAGTGGCAGTGTCCACGTTCCAGGCCCTGGACACCGAGAGGATGAGGGTTTCAGGTTATCAGCAAGGATGTGGTGGGGATGGAGGGGGAGAAATGGTCAGTAAGGATACTGGCAAGGTGACCACGGGGTAAGCCCTGGCACCTCAGTGTTATATCCCAATAGCTGATAAACATCCTGCTTGGTATTCTCAAAGAGGAGGAGGAGCTCTTTGGACTCCTCCTTGTACTAGCACTGGGGGGAGTTCCTTCAGATTTGCTCAGTCCATCCCCTTCTATCAGACAGCTCTTGATTTATCCTTGAGTTGGCTAATGGCAAGTCCATGCAGCTGCAGTTCCTCCCCAAGACATGTGTAGTGTACATTTTTATTCAGCATTGGTGTTATGGCTGTGTACCATACCTAAGGGGTAGAAAATTATCATCCTGCAGTGTGTGTGAACTTGGGTTACATATAGGTCACACGGTCACACAAAGTTACACCCATAAGTTGAGGAGCAGGTGAGAAAGGTTTTCAGCCCGCCTCTCAGTTAAAGACTGTTTCAAGATGGTGGAGAGATCCTGAAGATAAAACAGGATTATCAACAATAAAGGGACCGTGAGGAGCAGCAGGGCCACAACAAGAAACAAAAAGATCCATGTAATTTGTGTACAGACCATGCATGCCAACTTTGTCACTGGTGACAAAATCACAGAAGTGGTCAATGGAGTTGGAGTCAAAAAAAGACTCGGTGAAAATCTAGAGGATCTGATTCAGTTGTATGGAGAGACAAGTGTTTCATGAGGCATCTGCAATGTCACACTGTTGGCAATATTGGAGTTCTTAGAATAGTCTGCTTGTTGGAAAGGTGAAAGTAGCTGCTATGGGTCATGTAAAGACTGAGGGACAGGCATGTTGGACATAATTTGGGATTGCCATCATTGATTCATTTCCAACATTCCCAGGTTTAGCTATCTACTGCCTCCCTATAGTGAAATACAAAGACAATCAAAATTCAGCATCACTACAATAATGATGTGTACGGGAGCTCAAGTGCGTAGACACTTACAAGAAATCATTTCCATCCCTTCGGCATTGTGTAGAGGAAACCCCTCAGCTCCCTTGTAAAACCCATAGAAGGAAAGCATGACCAGAAGTCCCAGCACCTGAGTAATCACTGATACCTACTCTCTAAAGACCACTATCACTCCCCTTTCAAACACTCTCATACCCTCCTTCCATATCCCAACTAATCAAACCTCAAGAAAATGTTTTAATCCAGAACAGAGAAAGAACCAGAGATTATAGGAGATATAGGAGGCATGTAAGAGCTGTTGCAATAGTACAGTAACAAATGACAACATCAACATCAAAGATAAAATTCAACAGATACAGAGGCATTAGCTAGGGCACAGCGGCATCTTATAGACTAACTAGTTCATGGAGACACAACCTTAAAATTAGATACAGAGGCTATTTAAAATGGTGTAAAACTAAAGAAACAACTGACACGTGTTCAATTAATCTGTATTAATAACATGGTTGATTGATTCTATAAAAATGTTCAGTAAAACCAGTCACTGGAGAATCACTGACATCTTCTGCGGAATAAACCACTTCCATCCTATCAGTTTCCACAGAGCTGCTTTGATGTCTTTGTTTCTCATGCTGTAGATGACTGGATTCATCATTGGTGGGATCACAGAATACAGAACAGAAAGCATGAGATCCAGAGTTGACGGGGACCCAGATGTGGGCTTCATATAGGCAATCATACCAGTGCTACCAAGCATTAATACTACAATAAGGTGGGGTAGGCAGGTGGAAACTACTTTATGCCAGGCCTGCTCAGAGGGGATTCTCAGTACAGTAGTGAATATCTGAATATACGACACAAATATAAACACAATGCAACCAGCACCTATAAATGCACCACCAATAAGAATCTGAATTTCACTAGTAAACACATCAGAGAAAGAGATCCTAAGGAGCTGGGGGATTTCACAGAAGAACTGGTTGATGATGTTGGAGTGGCAGAAGGGCAGCCTAAAGGTGTTACCAGTGTGCAGTGCAGAGAACAGAAGAGCAGCGCTCCAGGCCGTGGCTGCCATTTGCAGACACGCTCTCCTGTTCATCACTGTTGAATAGTGCAGTGGTTTGCAGATGGCGATGTATCGGTCGTAAGCCATGATAGTGAGGATGGCAAGGTCTGCTGCAATGAAAAAGAGGACTAAAAAAACTTGGGTGACACATCCAGAATAGGAAATCAACCTGGTGTTCAGCATGGAATTTGCTGTGGATTTGGGAACAACGACAGAGATGGATCCAATGTCTAGGATGGACAGATTGAGGAGGAAGAAGTACATCGGGGTGTGGAGGTGGCTGTCAAAGGCTATGAGCGTGATAACAAGGAGGGTCCCAATCAGGGCTGCCAGGTATATTGTTAGAAAAATGGCCAAGTGCAATATCTGCAATCCCAAGGCATCGGAGAATCCCAGGAGTAGGAACTCAGTCACAGCGGTGCAATTGGACATCATTATACCCAGTGCCTTTTGAGATTCCTGTGGAGGGAAAGGATATCCATGTCAGGAGAAGGGGAAGCAAGAGAAAAAACTACCGTTCTTGTGCACAATTCTCCCTTACTTCATTTTTTTTTATAGGTCCACTTTATTTTCAGTTAAAAGGGAGTTTTCTGATAAAAAAATCAGGGTTCTCAAAGTGACGATATTTTTCATGAAACTTTTTTTTTTTTAAATTGAGATTCACATCCGGTGCAGGTCCATTCGATTTGGGAAAAGGGGATTATTACAACCCTAAATCCAATCATTTCATGAATGTCAGTGCCTGAATCTTACCCACAGCATGAAATTATGAAGCAAAACGGTCATCCCATAGTATTTCCATTTTCCTAGGGACGTAGAGCCTAGACACAGCCAGGCTCCTAAGCTCCAGGTCACCTGGGACCATTGCACACACAGCTTTGTGCACATCCTGCAAGCCATTTGATTGCAAACTGGCTTCAAGTCTCAGAAATATATATCAGCATGGGCTTTCAGCATCCCTCAGCGTTCTCCACATTTTGTAACTCATCTACTTCAGAAATATTTGACCTTTTCTTTATTTGTTTAGTCCGAAAATCTTCAATAGCCATGAAACTAGATAGCTCTTGATACTGCAGGGGTTATTGATAAACAGGGAGACATGTTTGCTGGGCAGCTCCAAGCCCAGGGAAGTTGTGATGCACAGGGCAGCTGTGCCTGCTATGTTGCTGACCTGTGGTCATGGCTATTTCCCCCTGCCTCCGCAACAGCAGTGCCCTGGGCTGCTGCCCTGGTTCTCTGCTCAGATACATTATTGTAGAAAAGGTAAAAGATTTCAGGACAGAAATATGCCATTTTTTAAGTGAATACTTATATGCTTACTTTTTCTGACAACTCTAAATTGTATTAAATGGAACATAAAGTTCTTAAATATTTTTTAAATATAATTCATTATTCATTTTCCGAAGATCCTCTCTATTAAAACCCAAACATTATTGAATTGAATATGTTACTTACTGTGCTCGTCTTAATGGTTTTGTCTTCAGTTTTCTACATTAAATCCTTCAATGCCAGGACAGCTTGATTCCTGACCATCTACTCCTGCCTCCAGTCTCTTGTCCCCCATCACTGTGGTATTTAGCTGCCAGGGGTGCAGGTTTCTCTGAGTCGTGCACTCCTCACGCTGTGAGAAAACTGAGAAGAGGAGATCCAAAATGATTAATTAGTCCCTGAAGAAGAGCTGGCTGTGTAGCTGACTTGCATCATGACTGCAATGAAGGGACTGAAGTTGCAGTCAGTGATTTGTCGATGTATCTGTTGTGAGCTCTTGTGGGACTATTTCCCTAGAGCCTTGCACAGCTCGGAAGCAGAGTCCAGGGGTAAACACACGGGATTCACAGATTTTGAAGCCAGAAGGACTGTCCAGAGTCTCACTTGACTTGCTGCTGACCACATGTCAGAGGATCTTGCTGTGGCTTGTAACAAGCTGTGTCTATCAGTGGACCAATGTTTCTTGGCTTTTCTAGTTGCAACATGGGGATGGGAGGAATTTTTCCCCTCCTATTGCTAACAGTGCCTCGGTTCCCCTCCCCATACATCCCTACCTTCCTCAGCAGCACTGGGAGTTGGCTGCAGCTCTGGCTAAGGTTTTCCATCTCCCATTAGGGACATGCCAATCACCACATTTGGGAGCAGGCAGGAAGTTTACTGAGGAGTCAGACGGGTAGAGACTCGTGGGGGAAGGAGGGTCCTTTCTCTGTAAAGTGGTGAAGGGGATGGCTGCCTTATGTGCATCTCCTGAATGTGTTTAAAATCCCTTGCAGCAGCAGGACTCTAAGAGTCTTCATCTCCCTCTTTTCCTGTGCCACATTTTAGTGGCATTAGTGTCTGTAGGCAATATACTTTGTAGTGGTGTGACAGAGTGACTGCATAGTTTTACAAACAGGTAAAACAAGGTTTCATATGCGATAGCTTGGATAGGTAAGATGCTGCCTTGAGCAGGGGCTGGACAGCTCCAGAGCTGCTTCCAGTCCTACTTTTGTATTAATCTGTGATTTATCACACTTGCCTTGTACATGGGACCACCCCTGGTCAGTTCCCATGTTTGGACTCTAATTAAGTCTTCCCCAGAAAACAAGACAGTGTTCATATTTAGAGTCCTGTCTCCTCTTTCCTAAGTGCAGCAATGGAGGAGAGCACACAAACCCAGGCGGATGCACGTGTGGAAAGAGAGGGACCAATGACATGGTGGTCAGTGTTAGATGAGCAGATGAGGCTGACACATACTGACCTTAGCTTGGGGGAAATGTGGAATGATGTCCTCATACATATTACCATGGGAGATCTGAGGGAATGGGGGCAAGGGCCAGAGGGAAGCAGGACAAAGGGGGGTAGATTTCATAGATCTCATAGACATTAGGGCTGGAAGGGACCTGGGAAGATCATGGAGTCCAGCCCCCCGCCCAAAGGGCAGGAAGTCAGCTGGGGTCATAGGATCCCAGCAAGATAAGCCTCCAATTTACTCTTGAAAGTGTTCAATGAAGGCGCTTGAACCACCTCTAATGGCAGGCTGTTCCAGACCTTGGGGGCTCGGACAGTAAAGAAATTCTTCCTTATGTCCAGCCTGAAACGGTCTTGCAGTAGTTTATAATCACACACACACATATCTAGAGACAGAGAGAGAGAGAGAGACAGCAATCATTTGGGTAATGCTTTATTGGTATATTTACAATGTTAAAGCAATTTGGAAGCCTATCAGTGTCTCTATCATCATGAAGAAATACATTCTAAATACCTATATGTGTTGATGTGTGTTTTGTTTTCTTACACATGATGGGTATGTGATGGGGGATGTGGTGTTTGCAGGAAGGGGGTGAGAAGCAGTGTGGGGGAAGGCACGTAGGTGGGTGTGGAGGGATGTGGGTTGGTCTGTGGGGAGGTGTGGGGCAATTTCTGGGGGAACTGTGGGTGTGGGGGACCTTGTTGGGGGGGCTGCTCAGGAGGGGTGGATCCCCTGGTCCCCACAGGGTGCAGCCCCCGCACAGGGCCCCAGCTTGCCCCTGGAGGGCCACAGCCCCCCACCCGGGACCCCAGCCCCCTCCCCAGGGTCCCAGCATCACCCTGGATGGCCTCCCCCACAGACCCAGGGTCCCAGCTCGCCCCTGGAGGGCTACAGACCCTATCCCCTACAGGGCCCCACCCCCCCTGCTCAAGGTCCCTGGCTCCCT